CTGGTAGCCATGCAACTGGAGTCTGAAAATACAGGAAAAAACATTATATACAAAAATGGCATTTTAATATCTTTAGAGATCTTAGTTTTGAGTTAAGTTATAAAATTCTTGATATGCTATTTCATCCAGGAAATATCTACATTTTGAGCAATTATGGCCTGGAGTTATATTCTTTAACATCAACATTAAATTGAAGAAGTAACTTATTTTTTTCAATACAAAATTTTTACTAACATTTTGTACTTACCAAGCATAACAAAATGAAATCCACTGCTTAACAAATATATGCACACATTAAACAATTGCATGTATTTTCAATAACTAAATTAGTGTATATTGTAAATGACTTTTTCCTTGCTTGCTCCCATTTTTCAAAAATTACACAGAAATATAATTTTTTGTTTTTTTGATTGCTTACAATTACACTGACTATTCTTATACTAATTATAAATGAATTGACTCATTATTTCTGCAATATCATCTAACAAATGTTCTTAATTTGTGGTAAATAAAGTGATTTTTCAGTATTTAGTTAGTAGGGGAGGTTAGTTTTGTTTTTTCCTTGTATTTATGGAAATGTCAATAATTCTTATACTTGTAAGGTGTTTCCTAATAATATGTATAGTTGTTAATAAAATAATTACTGAATATTACTAACAAGTTTCTAGCTAAAAATATTTTCAGTAATTGTCATTTAGTAGCAATTTAGGTCCCCACATGTTCACTCCCAGTCATGGACTCCAGTTGCATGGCTACCAGGCTTGTTATAAGTATCAACTTGAATTGAAATTTTCCTGTTGGCATTAAAGACCATAAATAAGCATTCAGGGATTTCAAGCTAACATATGCTCCATGCAGGTGTAGTGACAAGAAAGGTAGGATCGGTTGAAAACCAGCCATGAATCTTCTAGGTAAAAGGAAAATGGATTTTTGTGGACACTCGCATTAATGTAAAAAGATCTAAAAGTGTGGCTGTTGGTTAGCTCCAGTGACTAGACCCAAAGCGTTGTGAGTTCAATACAATGCTATGGCAGTGGTGAACCAAAAAAACTTTGAAAGTTGAGTTAAAGAGAAATAACTGAGACATCCGGAAGAGGCATGGTACATGGAACTAGAACAATCTACCCTGGTGAACGAAATAAAGTGTTCGGTTCAAAATTCCAATCACCTGAAGAAGGTAGAGAGTATACAATGGCTGAAATGCAATGAAGATGAGGATAACAGAATAATGTAAATAATGCAAGTAATCCTAATACCTCATCTCTGAGATATAGACATCTAAATTTGACATCACTTTTTTCATTGGATTATTTTTCTTAATATCACCAGTAATGCTTTGACAGAATTACAAGATTTTTCAATGAAATGAACTGTTTCTGCAGTATCCCCTCCACTTATTAATGGGTGAGTTTTAACTGCAGGTGCAGTTTGATCACAAAACACTTTTAAACAATGGGAAACTTTTTGTCTCCCAACGGGTTTTGGGTAAACTGCTACATCAGTTTTGAAAGTTTAACAAATCGGGTTTTTATACTCAAAAAGACCTTTTACAATTTCCCATTTTGCCTACATTTTTTTACCTTCAGAGTAAAATGTTAATTCAGAAAAAGTTTCAATAATCCAATTATTTTGAATATTTTAAAAGAGTGAAAATAATAAAAAAGTATGAGCCATTTTTTACTTACCCAAGGCTTATTAGAAACAATGTCAATTTTTTTTTTAATAGAAACTGTTTAGTTCTGTTATTATCACATACAATGGCAATTGCTTAACTGTCTAATTGGTTGATTGCATCAATAATACCGGATTTTGCAAAAGTCCTGTTGCACTTCATTTTTTAGAATTTTTGTGACAACTTTAACTGTCAAAATAATTTTAATTTACAATAACTTAAAATTTGACCTTTTCAGGTAATTATCATTTCAGGTAAATAATGGTAAGATGTATGTATACAACAATGGAAGCAAAAAGAATTGAGATATTTGCTCTCCTTCGTGCAGGCCACAACAAGTCATAAATCGCCAAGCAGCTAAAAGTCAGTCAGATGAACATCCACAGAGTTGCAGATAGATTGAGGGACGGTGAAGGCTTCATGGATCAACCTCACTCAGGCAGACCCCTAGTTGTCAACAAGTCGACTGTTAGGAAAGCATTTGTAAAGAATCCAATGCTCAAAATGATCAAGCTTGTGAAAAGAAAAAATATCTCTGTGGCCATAGTGCCCAGGGCCATCAAGAATGACAGGAAAAAGCTTCAGGTGTGTGTAAAGACCCCTGCTAACTGTTCGTATGCAAGAAAAATGTTGAGAGTGCTGTCATCATTTTTTTAATAATTTGAAAAGCCGTGGGAATCGCATTGTCTCAAATGAGAAGACCTTCAGGATGGATCCGGTCATGAACAAGCAGAACAATTGTGTTGTTAGTTTTGTCCAGGATATCTCTGAGTTTCACTACATTTCTACAACCAAGCACCTGGCCTCTGTGATGATGCTTGGCATCGTGGCCTCAAATGGAAAGAAGATGCCACCTGTGTGGTTCCAAACTGGCTACAGGTTAACTGCAATTAAATACAGTTATCTTAGCTGCCTTGGGTGAGAAAAATAACCAAGAATGCAAACTGTTTTTCAGCAAAATGGTGCCCCAGCACACACAGTCATGCAAGATTGGTTGGAGTCAAACATGAATTTCTGGTTGCCACAGTTGTACAATCTCAACCCTCTGGATTACAGTGTTTGGCACATATTGAGAACAAGGCTTGCAAAATTTGTCATATTAATGTTGAAGAGCTAAAGTCCTCAATTAACCATGCATGGGTCTGTATGAGGAAAGACTACAACCATACCTGAACCTTGTACTCACTTCTGAGGGCAGGCATATTAATTAATAGTATTGTGTAAGCACATAATAAATTATTCAAATGATAATATTTCTCTTATTATACCCAGAAATATTTGGGCTTTGAAACTAAAATAACAGTGTGTAACAGAACTTTTACAAAGCCCGGTATATGATACATTTACATATAAACTAAATTGCATCTAGTTTGGCAACTGGGATCATTTTAAGCACACATTTTGGTCCACCATTTAAACATTTTACCATGATGTCCAATAATTTTGCTAATCCCTCAAACTCTTCAGTAAAACCAAATAAATTTCCTCCATGAAACTGTAGAGCATCTTTGACATAAACTTTATCGACTAAAAGAATACACATTTTCTAATTTTCAGATATTTTAGTAAATATATAATTTTATTTTGACACTTGATGTCAAATCTGTTCACACACTTAGTAATTTAAAATCATCCTATAACAAAATATTCAAATGCTCTGATAAGAATATCAGATTCCTAAAGTTTTGTTCTAAGGCTTTCTGGTGACATAACATTGATATATTCTTTAAATTTTTTCTTTCATTAACAAATTCTAAGTTACTAAGGCAATCTCTTCATTGATGTGACCAATGCTGAAACATTAATATTTGATTTTTATTTGAAAGAGAAAAATTTGTATATATACCAATATGGTAACTTTCAAATTTCAAGTTTTCAAAAGTTTTAATTAGAATACTTCCAGTGAAATGATCAACTGATTGTTCGATTTATAGCATGTAACAAGTGACACAAATTGTGGTTGATTAATACTGTCACACAAATTTTCAAATGTAATAATCTTGTCTTTTTATAGAAATTCTGCCAACTCATCATTTTGCACATTTCACAAAGAAGTTTTATTTGTAGTTTTTGCTTTTCTTTGAGGAATAGTTAATATATTTGGTACCAAATACTGATGGTTGATTTTTAGGTTGTACTTTCCTTCTAATAACTACTCTTTTAAATAGCCAAATGCCTTTTACAAACAAGGTCAATATTTCATAAGCTGTTTCCAGGAATGAACTTTAACTATTGAGTGTTAACCCCTTCCCTGGCATAAATGTGTATATACATTTTTACCAAAAGTCTCTTTTTCATACATGGACAAATAAATATGTCCAAAACATTGTTTAAAAACCAGCTACAGACATGTTTATACATCCTTCTTGGATCTTTTTATGCCCGTCTGATCTTGAAACAAGTCCAATTATCAACTCTTAGAGTTGTTAGCCACCACTCAGGTACTTCAAAGTGCCTTACTTTCTTAGTTACTATATTAAAAACAAATAAAAAAAAAATTGTCTGAAAATGAAACTTTTTTCCAAAAATAATTGGTGGGGAAGGAATTAAGTTAATAATCAGTGTACCCTAGTCAGCAAAGCCTTCTACACATTTACTTGAATTCTCTTTGGATTTGCCTTGGTTCAATTGCTTTTGTAACTTTGTTATTAATAAACTTTGTTGGAGTTCCAATTTTTCTCTTATTTTGAAAGGCTTATAGTTACTGTGTTTTTGTATATAATACCTCTGCACTACAAGGACATTCAAACCAAAGCTTTCATCATCTCACCTGTATGGATCTTCAGATCAGCTAATGGGTCTGAGAAAAAGTAAAAGTAACCAAGTAAACAGTTACAATATGACACTGAAATAAAGCTTATATGTGGATGAGTTTTAATTCATTGAGTATAATAGAATCACCTTGGATCAATAAATGTTCTCAGTTATTAGGTCATGCTAAAAATCACAGATATTTAGACAAAAAATAAAATTAAAAAGAATTCTGAAACCTATGAGTAGTTAGTAAGTTCAGTCCACTCTGAATTATAATTTATTGGTTGCCAAAAAATTGGTCATATTTATAGTTTCAGTCTTTTGAGACCTTGAAATATATAACATTTTTATTTTAAATAAATAAAAATCTAGTTGGATAATTTGATTGTTACTAGCCCTTTAGTTTATATGCAGTAATGAAAAGCATTGCAAACAATTAAATTATTAGTGAGATGTGGACATTTTAGACATAATTTGTTGTTTAAAAATATCATTGGAAAATAAAAATGTTTAACTTTTAAAAGTTATATGCTTTCATTTTAATGTGTTCTCCTTGTTTTTTTCCCATGCATAGGAAAGGACAGAGAACCTGAAATTGTTGAAAAATGTAATTGACCGATCGTTCTATGAGGAGGAACAATACCGAAAGTCTGAATTCAGTGAATGTTTCCGAAGCATTCTTGGCGAAGATGAATCTGAACAAACACAGATGGACAAGGACATTATCAATTCCATTTTGGTCAGTCATGAAGGCTGGTTCTTTAAATGAAGTTAAAAAAATGAAATCAAAGAAAAATATCCTCCCACCTTTTTTTTCTTTCATTTTTTTTTTTTTTTAAATTTTTATTATAATTATGCAAATTTATTTTAAAATTATAACTGGAAATATGAAATTGATATTTCATGCTTTAGTTATCATTTTTTTTCTTTTATTATTTAAAAAAATTACTTGTTTGCTTATTACAATTTATTCAGATGTTAAATTTATTTAAAACAATTATGTAAAAAAGTTCTGGTTTTTATTAATCAAAAATCTTTTTGATTAATATTTACATTTAAGTTTTATTAAGCATTAATTTAAAAAAAAATACTCATAGGTCTACTTGCAGGTATCCTCAATCTAAAAATTTGCAGGCTATTTGAAGACTAAAGCCATTTCTTACAAAATATCAATAGCAAGTAAATCCTTGAGAAATTGCAATTTCTATACCATTAAATTATGCAATTTAGAATAAACTCTCTCAGAATTACCAATATGGATTGTAGTATGTTTTTGTAAGAATTATCTATTCTTCAAATTATTTGGATGTTACGCTAATGAAAATAAATTTGACAGTATTTTATGAATTTTTTTAACTATTATCTTCATTTTTTTTTTAATACAATATTTCAGCTTATGTGCTCCTAGGCCTTCTTCAGATGCATGTCTCATTTGGTAACTTTTATCATTATACAATCTGTTCATCAAACATTCACACTAATAAACATTCCTTAATAAGTCAGAAAAAAATCCCAAATGCATATGTTGTGAAGACCAGCACATATACTAATTTTTGTATGCTATGTATAGAAAATATTTACAATTACTTATCAGTATACTAATATAGGTAATAATTATTTACTTTAAAAAGGATGATGACATCTTTGATACTCTGCATAAATATGTGTGTAAAGTTAAACTATCATGATCAAAGTATCCATGCCTTGGGCATTAAATACCCTATTTCTTTCATTTGGTAGCAGTTACTCAAAATTTTTGAAAAATACTAAATATATCAATTTTAATCTGATTTTGAAAGACTAATAAATTAGATTTTTTAACAAAGGTGGAAATGATTTAAATGATTATATAACATTCAATTTACAATGAAATAGGCTGAAAAATGTATTTAATTAATATGGATATATTAGAAGCAAAAAGAAAGAGTATGAAAGTTTGTCTGAATTGGAATTCATTACTCAAACATTATTAAATTGATAGATGAATATTTTTAAATTATGAAATGTATTTATTAGAGTTTTAACTTGGTCGGGGAGGTTAATGAGGGAATCACATAACTAGTAATAGATACACTTCTTGATAAAAATTAGTGCCTTAATTCATTGATATTAAATATCTAAGAATTTGGTGAACATTTAAATAAAAGAGAAAAATTACTATATTCTAAGCATCAGACATTTTTTTTCTTATAATTATCTTGATTATAATTTATTCCATTCATGTGCAGTTCAATAAATATACTAGTCATAATGATTTGTTAGATTGAAAGAAGACAAAATATTTATGTCAAAATATCTTAATAAAAACAGTATAAATAAGTTTGGTTAGTAAAAATATCAAAATAAGATCAAACCATAATTACTAATATTTAGTTTTGTTTATTTAATAAGAAAATCTTATGTCAAACCAGCAATCAAATATTTATTCTGATATGAAGTTTTCTAACATAACCCAAAATTGGTTGCTAGTTTGAATGTTTTGGGGAGCTGAAAAGGTTTAGATTAATTTGTTTTGAAAGCTTTGGGGTGGGGGTGGGGTTTGTGGGTGGAGGGTTAAGTTTAAAATGAAAGTAGATATTTTAATTATGACATTTGATAATTCAGTTTTGTTGATAACAATGGGAATTATTTGTCTGCTAAAGAAACTGCTTCTAAGTTTTAATACAAAGCAAATAAATTACTTTGAATTAAGGTGTTTTTTTCCTGTTATCGTTGAATGATGAAAACATTCTTCCAAAGCACTACAGAGACTAGTGTAAAAATTACATTTTATGAATAGTTAGGCAAATCAGAGAAAATATTTTTAAAGTGCTGTAGTAATAATATTTATGAATATAATTTCAAAATCTTCTTAAATTGAGCAAATTTTACTTTTAAACATTTTTTTAATAACAATGCTTGACTTGATCATTAGACACTTTAATAATTAAATAGAAATTACTTCCATTGCGCAAAAATTTAATTTAATTCTTAGCTTTCAAGTTGATATTTAATTCCAGTTTTAGTGTTTTTATAAATAATTATTTAAAATTGGACAAATTCATTTTATTAAAAATATTCACAAAATCTCATATTCTTCCATAAGAATATTTTAATTATGGTTAATATCTGAATATTTTTCTTGAAACAAAAATCAAAAATATTCTTGGTATTAGCATATTTTATACCTTTTTATATGAATTCTTCATATGTTTTTAATGATATCCTTTCATGTAAATTTCCATGATAGTTTACTCTTATTTATAAAGGAATAACTTCTCTGTACAAAATGCTTACAGGATTTAATGATGAGTTTATAAATCAATTGTGGTTATTTAAGGTAAGAATTGAAACTTCATGTCCAAAATTTCAAATACAGGTATAGGGTAGATTTTACATGGTAAAATTCATCAAAAAACAATATGGGTGTGTAAAAATAAAGTAAATAAATAAAAATAAAACAAAAGAGAATGTCCAAGAGATATTACAGGAGGTATTCGATTCAAAATAAGTCTTCAAACTTGAGCCTGCAAATTTATTGTTTATTTCATTTTATTTGACTGAGGAAAGTGTATCTAATCTGCAAGTCCATTATGAATGCAGATACTTACAGCCTTTCCAAATAACATCAACATTTCTCCTCTTATTGTTCATTTATTTCCTGTGCATCCTTTTCCTCTCATGCTTTTTCATATACAAATATATATAAAAGTCTGAACTATTTATTTCAGCTGATAGTTAAAAAAAACTGAACATAGCCTATTATTTCCTCTACTAATGCACCTTTTGACACAAATCTGTATTAAGATTATTTGTATTTTTTTTGTTTTTTGTTTTTTTTTTTTGCACTTTCACACAAAAACAATTCTAAATTAATTAAATACAACCTGACTAACCCAAAATCTAGTGATTTTTAAACAGTAAAACCTTTTGCCTTATTGGACTCAGTATTAGTGGGTTCTACTAATATTTGTTAAATTTTTAATATATTTACATTAATTAACAAGAAAGATTTGTGAAATTATTATATTCAATATCAATTCTATATATTTATACAATTATATGCAGTTGTAAGGCGGAAAAGGATGCCTGTATGTTGGAGAAAAGAGGACAGGCTGTAAGTAAAAATATTAAAATAAATCAATTTTCACTCAGATATACCAGAATGGTATACTTTTTTCTTAAAGAAAAACAACTAAAACTAATTTCCTTTTTGCCCTTGTGTGGCTCCATTTTGTTCATCCAATCATCTAATTTTGTTTCACAGTCCACAGTGGCCAACAGATATGGAAAAAATAAAAGTTAAAATGAAACAAATCTGTTGGTCCAAAATGAAACAAGAAACTTACATCTTCATCACTATAAACCTTGTTTTCTTTGAAAATCCTTGTTTAAAGAGTAAAGAAGAATTAAAGAATAAAGTGAATGAAATTCTTAAAAACAAAGATCTGTACAAGAGGTATTTTATTTGACATGAAATCAAGTTGAAAAATGAATGATAAAGAGGATTATACTCTGAAAGATCCATCAAAACTACCTACAATTATCAGTTGATATAATTTCAAAACCATTATTTAAAAGAAATTAAGAAAAAAGGTTTTGGCTGTTGAAACAAAAAACAGACAATAAAATAAATGGAAAAACATTATGGATAATTTGCAATGGTTACGTAAGTAAAAAGAAATGCTCACAAAATTTGTACTGTTTATTCCCCCACAGTCAATGATTGTGATCTTGTAAAATCCATGATATCAAAAGAAGTGCAAATTTTATTTTAATGAGAATTTTTCAATTAAACATTCTGATGGAAGAAAAATTTTCATAAACACTAAAGTCAGCAGGTTATTTAAAGGTGTAATATTTTCAGTAAAAATAATTCTACTGGCATTTTTTAAAGCTGGCCTGACACAGGTATGTCTTTCAAAATACATGTGTACTTTTAAAAACCTGCAAAACTTAGAGAATATTGGCATATGTCTGGATTTGTATTTCTCAGTGTCCGACATCACATTCTCAATTCTGTTCCAAATACCCCATCTTTGTGTTTTTTTAATTTTATTTTAGGTATTAAAGAATGAATTATTTCAACTGTACCAGTTATAAAAATTCAGTTAGTATTGTAAGTAGGTGTTGACTAAACTAAGTTTGGAACAAGGCCACATTATCCACTGTCAATGGCCTGCAAGACTAGCTTTCTAAATAACATCCAAGAGTAGTTCCCCACTCACTTCGTATATGATGCATATGGTTCAAGCCATTGTAGCTGGTATTAAATCTAAAGTGATAACAAAAAAAAATGCTAAATTGTTTATTCTTAGGCTAGCATTAACTGCATGTATATGGCCCAATGCTCACCACCAGAAGGTGATAAACAACTTTCTGCTGTTTTTCAAATATACAAGATTTCATGAAGATATAGAACCAACATCTGCCCTAAATTTCTTTTTCGAAATTCTGGTTGTATAAAATAAAAAAATTTAATAAAATTCTATATATTCAATATGTATAAAAAAAAGTTTTATGAAATATAATTTACAAAACAAATTAGTCTATTTCTAATAAAATGTCTTGATAAATTGACACTTAAAATTTCCTGAAAAATGCCAAAGGAGTTTTATCAGAGAATTTAGATTAAAATATAACAATTAGTAAAATTGAGTAATAAAATATCAAATAACTTTTTATTTATGATATATTGATGTTTGAATCAGCTTGATTAGTTTTTGTCACAATTATAAAATCTTTCTCTTCTATTTGCCTATATTGTATCAGATGATAAACTATAATTTT